AAAAGGCATGGACTAGAAAGAGACTTTTATGCGCATTTTGAATATGAACTTTGTTTTGAAATACACCCTTTTCTTTACTCTGTGGATGCAATTCTTTTTTACCAACTTTTATATAATTCTAAAAGTTGGTAAAAAAAGAATTGCATTCAGGACTGTTCATGGTAGTACTCTGGGCTTACTTCACGAAACCGTAGAGAACCCTTCAAACGGACCATCTTCGGTTGCAAAAACCTCTTTGCAAAATGGCCGATGACGTTTTGTCTATGTCTAAAGAATAAACTATTTTTGGAGAACGCTTAACTCAAACAAGTTCAAATTTTATCTTAGGTAGTACTCATAGCAAGACAGCCCTGGTAAAAATTTAAGCTCATTAGCATTTGATTTGACGGAGTTATAGCATAAGCAAAATTTTCAACTAGAAAATCGCTCTTTTTCGGTATTTGACGGCTTTTTCTGCAAGCGCTTTAGCGGCAAGGGAAAGCATTTTGGAAAAAAATGCCAAGAGACAAAAATGTTCAGGACACATTTCTCTGTCTGCTCTGATAATGTGAGAAAAGTCTGTGACGGTTCATTGAGCAACTTTGGTCGTCCCTATCGTGCACTGCCTCTTATGTAAAGTAACGATTAGCAAGAAAAGAAAAAATCGATTCAGAGATCCAATGAAAAACCAAAGGTTTTAGAAAGAATCGTTTTTCGATTTTGACCATCAGATGCTGTTGGGCAAAATCAAAACGCTTAACGTAATAGATTGGAGACTTCTTTTCTACCTCTAAAGCACACTATGGGAAGACAATCATCGATCACTGTGTTGTTTTTTATTTTTCCAAACAGTAACAAATTTATCACAGCATACATAAATTGTCACAGTTAAAAACATTTCATCAAACAGCTAGCATTCGAGGACAATGGACCGAACCATATTTAATGTCTATCGTCAATGAGAAAGATCTTGTTTATATCATTTAGCCATTGCACCATTTTCCGAGGTCGATATACTCTTTTTGTCTCTATTCTATTTTTAACATGGAAAGTTGAGAACTTCATATTAACATTGCTCTTGGAAAGATTGATGGACAGACATGCTTGGTGCTGCCAAATGTGTGGTTATAACGAGGGAATCTTTCGAGATGATAAAGCGCTTTTCGACTACTACTATCATAATGAGATAGATCCTAGTGAGTAATGAAAAAGCAGTACAACGAGTAGAAATTTAGACGAATCGAAGTTGTTTAATGGCAAAGACACGTGGAATGTTTTACTAATAATAATATTCTATGGCTACTGTGGATGAGTGGCAAAGAAGAAAGGTTCGGTTGGTCACCATTGCATGTCACAGTTTTGGAGGCATACAACAAAATCCTTAATAGACTCTGCAGAGAGCTACAAAAGTCGTAGAATTAGAGAATACGAAACGCCGAGGCACAGATTCCATACCATGTCGTGCACCGAAAACAATGAATATTTTCCATTGTACCGAACTTTTTAGATTCCCTACGGTGATTCAGTCCTTTCATCTAACGTCTGTCATAGTACACAGATGTCAGTTCACCTTCGATTTACGTACATTTTGTTGTGTTTTGGACGACGCCTCAACAGAACGTGCTTTTTAGACACAAACCTCAATGACGAATGCACCTTGATGATTATTATACACTTTTGCTTTTAAACACCATAGGAGCATCAGAAGAAAGAACAAAAAAACAGAGAGGCAGCAAATCAATGTATGCGTGCTCTTTAGCTGAATACGTTTATTCTAGTATATAAAATTTTCCCACAGTAAAAAACGATGCATTATCGAGGAGTTAACACTGAATCAAGTTGTATAAACTGAATCAGAGAAAAAGCAGCATTGAAAATGACCAGGTATGTATAATATCCGTAGTTGAGTAGCTGATAGGCAAAAGTACAACTGTAGCTTTTGCTACGTTAAGGGACTGGTTGTTTCTATTAGCTGTCGTTTGCGTCACTGCTAGTGATGCTTCGTGGGCTCAACTGAAAATAAACACTCCATCGTTAGGCACCATTCAAGGTGAACTCAATCCCAATGTGGCAAATGTTCGTCAATTCATTGGTATTCCCTTTGCTCAACCGCCTATTGGTAACCTTCGTTTTAAACCACCTGTTTCCACCCTTACCGTTGATAACGCATCATCTACCATCATTTACAATGCCACGGCAGCAGCACATCAGGGTGGATTTCCTCTGCTCGACTGCATGCAGCTCTCTTTGTTGAATTCCAGCGTGATATTGGGACAAGAAGATTGTCTGTATTTGGACATTTTTCTGCCATTGAACGTCAGCACCATGTCCTTGTTACCTGTTATTATTTATATTTACGGTGGTGGTTTTCAAACATCGGATCCTCACGATCCAAGTCACGTTATTTCACTGTATCAGAATGTAATATATGTTGCCATTCGTTATCGTGTCAACGTATTTGGCTTTATGGCGTCAACATTGCTGTCGGCTAGTCGATCAGGAGCAATTCAAGCCTCAGGTCTGCAAGGTTTTGAAGACCAGCAAATGGCAATGAGATGGGTTCGAGATAATATTCAGTGTGAGTGGGAGCTAAAGTACTTTTTCTGGATTATCCTGTCTTCATAAATCTAGTTTCATAAACCACACATTGATGAAACTTTTTATAAGTTTCATAAATTCATAAATATGTGATTTTTGTTGTTTCAGGTTCAATTAATTAGTTCCATAATTAATTGAAGTATTAATATGTCACATAGAGACATATAACATTTTATAATAATATCTCACAGAGATAGGTATGAGTTACTTATAGACATACACTGATTCAAATAAACTAAAAGCGTATATACACGTCTCAAAGTGAAATGTGAGCCCCTCAGAGACATAAGCAGGTATCTTAATTGATCAATTAAACCAATTTAATTAACAACAATAGGTCTCTAAGATTAATTACAAAAATATTTCTCTGCGACCCATATTAAACGTTTTATGAAACCTTCTTACAAGTTTCATAAAATTTTTCATTTTTATGTAACTTCTGGGTTAATCAATTCAACATACAACTTTCCTAAGTTTTATAACGTTCCAAGTTTCATAAATGTGTGAGTTATGAAACTGGATTTATGAAGACAGGATATCCCCTTTTTCTGGCAATCCGGTTTTTCTGTTTCTCTATTCCAGCATTTGGTGGTGATCCCAGACGCGTTACATTGCAAGGCCATTCGGCCGGTGCTATTTCAGTTTGCCTTCATTTGATTGCACCCGCGTCTCAGGATTTATTTCAACGTGCCATCATCGAAAGTGGAGGCTGTGATGTGACACAATTGCCTTTGAACCAAATGGAAGTAATTGGAGATGAGATTTCGTCTTACTTTTGCAATTCCTCAGCGGATGTTATCTCATGTTTGCAATCGATTAACGCATCCACTTTGCTTCAGTATGCGCAATCTAAAGATTATCTAAATTTCTTTTCTCCAAATGCCATCCATCCACCAATCGACGGTCTCATTATTCCTGATTCAATAACGAATCTATTTCAGCAGAATAAATTTGCGACAAATGTTTCTCTGTTATCTGGAACAGTCAATGCTGAATTTGGCTTGTTTATTGCAGGCGGCTTTGAGACAGGATGGCAAATAAGAAATTTAAGTCAGACTATATTATCTCAGTGGGTTCAGTTGTTTTCCAGAGGTCAATCAGCATACTTAAACTCTACCTACAATCCATATGTCGCTCCGTACTTGCCACCGACACTAGTCAACTATTTCGGTTTGACTGACGCGCTTTCAACGGGTATATTTCAGTGTCCTGTTCGTCGAACAGTCGCCCATTTAGCCAGTAATGGAACTGGATCTGTGTATTTGTACTCCTTTGATTATATTCCACTGTCGTCTCCTTTCGCCGATTTATCACAGTCTGTTCACGGTCAAGAACTTCCATTCGTATTCAACACACCCAATTCGTCCGCGTTGACACAAATTATATTTCCGGTGAGCACATTCACTGTCAATGAACAACTGTTAGCGTCAACTATGAGTTTACTTTGGACTCGATTTGTCGTCAACGGGAATCCAAATGCGCCCCTTGATGGAGAAGCAACAAATCCATTGATAACTCAGTTAACTCAGCTTGGTGGCTGGCCGGCGTATTCGGTGAATGCCACAACTAATCTTTCTTCTTACCTGATATTCGCAAATACGGCAACGGGGAACAGTAGTGCCACCCTTCGTTTATCAACGAACGGTACCATTCCCCGACGTGTGCCGCATGGGATCAGGTTGTGAAAAATCCAACTATTGTAAAACGATGTGCTGTTGGTTTTAGTGGTGTTAGTTGTTCATCAGTGGTGATGCCCAATAATATATAAAATTCTACGAAAATAAAGATCTGAATCAGTCCTAGCACAGATTTTAATGTGCTTCTTCAACATTTAGAGATTGTAGATCGAAGGAAAAGATGAAAAATTATGTAGAGCATCAAAATCGTTTTTTTCGAAAACCCATTGCATTATCCACTTTAAGCATCTATTTGAAGCATTAAGAACTCAACATCAAATGTCTGGGGCATGTGCTAATTTTCCTCATTTTTCTTTGTATGCTTTTTTCTCTCCTAAATCGTAGGAACGTCATCGGTGTCGATAGCTTTGCGAGCAGTGAAATCAAGATAGACACAATTCATGCAACTATTTCTTTGAGTCGTATGCAGCCTCTTATTTTTATATCTGTTTTTCGTTCCCGCCCTCGTCTGAGATATATAGACAGGGCAGTTAGCATCGCACTCGCTTCTCCGAGACATATACAGTCTCTTTTTATGTTAACGGACATTATGTGTTTTTGCTGGGATTTTTTTTTGTTTAGTCATTTTTTTACAAAATGTGCACAACGTGATCGAGCGAACTACGCTACTTGGAAAACTTCTGAAAACGGGAGGACAATCTCTCGACATTGGAGATTGATCAATGCACGTTCTTTTTCAAAACTAAGTCCAGATTCGGCGCCATAATCTACACAAGTAGTACTAAAATGTTTTTTGAACTTAGAAACTTTTCATATATTTATAAGAGTTGATTGTCCGGCGCCATTTATTGTTAGGACGAAATAATTTAATTCTTTGTTCTTTATAAATAAAACAGTAAGACATTTGAAAGCTGAGTAGAGATTTTAACTTTAATTTTTTAATGATCTCTTTGTCTCTGTTAATATGACCAGGATCTGTCGACATCGCAACTTGTGCGCAGCACAATTGCTTTCTAGTTGTTTTTTATTTTCTTCTTTCTTTATTTCGTCCCTTTATTAGACAAAATGTGCACCTCGTGATCTAGAGAACTGCGAAAGCTAGAAAAGTTCTGAAAAAGGTAGGATAATCTCCCGACATCGGAGATTGATCAATGTATGTTCTTTTTTCAAAACTACGTCCAGATTCGGCGCCATAAGCTACACAAATAGAAACAGAAATGTTTTTGGACTTAGAAAATTTTCGTGTATTTATAAGAGTTGATTGTCCGGCGCCATTTGTACTTGAGACAAAATGTCAAATAAATATATCTGTATTGATATGATTTACTCAATATATATAAATATATATATATTGAGTAAATCAAAGCAAAAATGCCATGTTTGCAGCCTACTGGTAGGATCTGCTTGGAGCGGCAGGTTCTGCCAGAGTCAGCGTCTGTCGACATCGCAACTTGTGCGCAGCGCAATTGCATTCTAGTTTAATTCTTTGTTCTTTATAAATAAAACAGTAAGACATTTGAAAGCTGAGTAGAGATTTTAACTTTAATTTTTTAATGATCTCTGTGTCTCTGTTAGTATGACCAGGGTCGGTCGACATCGCAACTTGTACGCAGCAATATTGCTTTCTAGTTTGCTTTCTAATTTCTCTTTTTGCCTTTTGTTCCCGTAATCCACCATAATCAACTATGAATAATGATGCGGATCGCTCTTATTATAGTTTTACGACTGATTACCAAAATAATCGATTATATGAAATCCATTTAGTGGTTGTCGTAACTTATTAGGCATGTTGCATAGCAGCTTCGCACTATTTCCCGTAGTAAGAATTGACTATGATGAATTATTTCGGTAAATGTAAGACTCCATTGCCTAAATAATCGGTTATAGTCGGTTATTAATAGGGTATTAAAGTAATAAGGGGCCAATGTAACATTTGTAACTGATTTTGTTGATTGATAATAAGACAATAACAAAAGCGTAACATCGAACAAAGGTAACCGATTACAACCGATCACGGAGTTCGGGGCGCAGATAGTATCTCAGAGCAAGGAGTGGTCCTGCTAAAAAAACTTTTCACATACAAAAAGACTTATTAAAAATTTTATGTGACAACACAAAAGAAAAACTATTCTGTAACCAGAGGGTGGTAACTACCCTCCCGCTACCCCCACCCGTCCAGTAGCTAAGCCTTCGGAGATAATTGATTATTTGGAGACTGAAATCGATAGATTTGAAATCGTAATTTATTATAATCGATCACAAATATTGCATTCTATATTCTATTCTTGTTACTTCATCACCTTTTTAATCGATTACAATAATGAATATTTGATTATATTTTTACATGAGCACTGCTGCTATCTATACCAAAATATAATGCAATCCGATGTTTTTTGAATAACTTTTGAACGAAAAGTGATAAAGTGGTGTCCAGATTCTGAAACGAGACACTCTAGACTGTAAATCAATGGAGAAGTCAGGTCTATCGATCAGGTTTACCAGGGTGTACCCTTTGAGACATAATCCGAAGTTCACCGTTCCCAGCCCCCGCAATGAAAGCCGAACTTAAATAACACCAGTCGATAGCCAGCACATTGCTCTTCAAAAATACGCAAGTCTCCGCCCTGCATCTTCTTTGGTTCCGGCGATACCGGCGTTTTCCGAGAACACACCTCTATCGTTCTAGACCAGAGATGGGCAAGTGAAGTCATTTTTTGACTCAAACAATTTTATCGAGACTCATAACTTGACTCGGGTTGACCTGAGGTTTGCGTGAAATGACTTGACTTGACTTATGACTTGGCCCACAAAACCAAGTCATTTTCAAGTCCAAATAGTGCATGCGATTGAGGGTTTTATGCAGTAATAATTAGGGATGTTACAAGTATGGTGAGTGAATAAATGATCACTTATTCACATAGGCACTTTTGTGTTCTGTCACCTTTTCCGACGACATTATAGCCGAACGTTCTTTATTCGTACGTATAGTAGATACATTCCGCTATAACGTCGTCGAGTGGCAGAACACAAAAGTGCCTATGTGAATAAGTGATCATTTATTCACTCACCATATTTGTAACATCCCTATTGTCACCTCTAAGTGATAAATTTGCTTGGAAATCAAAAGTTCAAAAATTGTAAATGTTTGATCAATACCAGACGTATTGTAAGAAAAAGAAAATGCCCCCGAATATATGAACTAATTCTTTTTCTATTTGCGCTGGTCATGTGATTGACCTACTACTGTTTATGAATGATTCATCGATTCGTTGAGAGGTGAAAAGTAAAAACGAAGAAAAATCTTGTGTTAAAGTGACATTGCTCAAATTTAAACATGGATAAGCAAAGTCATTCTGCAGACGATCACGTTTTATTGCTTGGTGACATGCAAAAGCGATCAACCGAACAACCGATTCCAGTGCTGTCAAGACAATCGGTGCTCTATCTCCATCATCACCCTCTACTGTGTTCAAAAACTACACGTGACAAATTCTTCAAAGATCTCAAATATGAAAAAGGAAATACTAAATGGTCAGCTCTGTGCTTACTGTGTGATAATTCAAAAAGAGTTGTTGATAATGTGGGCGTAACATCGAATTTTACTCGCCATGCACGAGAGAATCATAAAGAAGAATATTAGCAATGGTTGACTGATTTGAAAACCTGTGGTGCGTCGAAATACACGAGTAAAATCACAGCTCATTTTCCGACCAAAAGTTCCTCAACGTCAAGTCATTCATATGGTTCCCATCATCCTCGTCAAGTTGAATTATCAAAAGGAATTGTGAATAACCTAATCATTAAATTAGGTTTACCAATGCTAATTGTTGAATCTTCAGCGTTTGTCGATTTTATGAAGACGGTTGATCCAAAATTCATAATGACTAGCCGAGAACTATGAGTTGAACAACCATACCACACATTTGTATAAAAAAATGAATGGTCGTTTGAAATCATTTTCTGCAGAAGCCAAATTTCTTTCGTTAACATTGGATGTTTGGGATGGATCGACGAATGAGGTCTTTTTTTGTGTAACAGGTATGTTTATCTTTAAAGTTCAAACTATTACTTTTCTTTTTTTATGTTGCCGTTTCCAGGACATGCCATTATTGATGACCAGTTTAAATCCTACGTATTGTGTTTCGTCGTTGCTACAAAAATATGAAGACGTCATTAATTCATGTGGTATTCGAGATAAAATCGTTCGTTTGATAACCGATAATGCTTCGAACAATCTGAGTGCACTTCAAGATTTAATTAGTCCAGGTTTCGAAGATTATTTCACGAGCCAACGTTACGCGTTGGAATTCCTAGTTTAATACTGTTAAACACGTTCTTGCCATTCCTTCGTCTGAATTGAATGACATTTCGCTTGAATTGAAGTACAACCATCTCTGTTTGAATTGCCGTGATTTGACGATGTTAAACGAATTCATTGCGCTACTATCCTTGTTTGCCGAAGCAACAACAGTCATACAGTTATAAAATGCTGCCTCTATTTCATTTGTTGCTCCGAGCATTTTGGCCATATATTTTGATTTGAAAAATGAAAAGAATAATATTCGATACACGACAATCTTATGTGATACTTTATTATCATCGTTACTTTCACGATTTGGGGGACTTTTGGAGCAGTTAGAAATTGATATTAGTGATGCTATTGATTTGAAAGTGAACCAGAAGTTTTACGATCTATACAAGGATCCAATCTTTAATTTCACCATTTCTTGACGGAATGTTCAAACTTCGCTGGATAACCGGGTCATCCCTTCCCGATTTAACAAAACAAAGAGTATGTAACAAGATCCAAAAGTTGATCTTTAATTATTGTGTTCAAACGGAACAAACCACTGCTACTAATCCTACTATTTTCGTTGATACAAATTCAGTACAAACATCACAACAAACATCACTTATTCTGTCGCGAAGTCAAAGCATAGTCAAACGAAAGGAACTATTCGCAAATATCGAACGTGGAGATAGAGATGTTAAAAAACCCAAAACAGGTGATCCATATGAACTCATCAAAGAAGATATAGCACGATATT